ACGATCAAGTTGTTGGCCTTCGCAGTTCCTCTCACTGGTCAGTGTACGAAGTAAAGTCAGATCATCGACGCCGTATGTTCAAAGGAAAGTGGCGCCGTCAAACCAAGATTCCTAGGATTTTTCGTGAACAAGATCTCCGGCACCTTCTGGACTTTGTCATTGACAACAGTCACTTCGAGATCAACGGATACTTGGTCCGCCAAGAACGAGGAGTCGCTATGGGATCACCAGCCGCGCCACCGTTGTGCAATTTGGTTGCTACGGTTGAGGATTTCTTCTGGCACCAAACAATGAGTTCTCTGCGGTTTTGCATGCCCGACATTGGTGTGATCTGGCATGAGCGCTACGTCGACAATCGTTTCATTCTCCTTCGAGATTCAGCCCCACACTCGCCCGTGCTCATGAATTTTCTTTCCCTGGAATTTTATCGCCCACCAGTGATGCTCGAGGTTCAACATGATGACAAAGTGCTGGGTTATCGATGTGACTCTTCCTCTCGGACTATTACACCACAGCTACCTGATCATCCCTCCCAAATCAAAGGAATTCGGAGTGCCAATGATCAGATGTTTACTTATTCTTCTTGGTCTTCTCGCTCGTGGCTCATCATACGCGGTGCACAACCGGCGGTTCAGCAGCAGCATGGGCTCGACGCTCTCAAACGCCTTTATGAGGCCAAAGGTTTTGAACCTCACCTTCTGCGTGACGTTCGGCGTCGACTCGGGACAGAATCTGCATGTGAGCTTGTCATGCTGTCTCTTCTTGTGCATGCTTGGGACAGTTGTTGATGCATTGTGCTTTGTTTGCATGTAGCTGGCTCAGTGGTGGATATTTTGGTCAACGGCGCTGGCAAGTGCTTCTTCATACCCCAGATCAAGATTGTTGGCCTTCGCAGTTCTCTCAATGGTCAGTGTACGAAGAAAAGTCAGATCATCGACGCGCCGTATCGTTCAAAGGAAAGTGGCGCCGTCAAAACCAAGGATTCCTAGGATATTTCGTGAACAAGATCGGGATCTCGGCACCTTTCTGGAGGTTGTCATTGCACAACAAGTCACTTCGAGATCATGGCATTAACTTGTTCGCAAGAACGAGGCGCTCGCTATGGGATCACAGCAGCCCCACCGTTGTGCAATTTGGTTGCTACGGTTGAAGATTTCTTCTGGCACCAAACAATGAGTTCTCTGCGGTTTTGCATGCCCGACATTGGTGTGATCTGGCATGAGCGCTACGTCGACAATCGTTTCATTCTCCTTCGAGATTCAGCCCCACACTCACCCGTGCTCATGAATTTTCTGTCCCTGGAATTTTATCGCCCACCAGTGATGCTTGAGGTTCAACATGATGACAAAGTGCTGGGTTATCGATGTGATTCTTCCTCCAGAACTATTACACCACAGCTACCTGATCATCCCTCCCAAATCAAAGGAATTCGGAGTGCCAATGATCAGATGTTTACTTATTCTTCTTGGTCTTCTCGCTCGTGGCTCATCATACGCGGTGCACAACCAGCGGTTCAGCAACAACATGGGCTCGACGCTCTCAAACGCCTTTATGAGGCCAAAGGTTTTGAACCTCACCTTCTGCGTGATGTTCGGCGTCGACTTGGGACAAAATTTGCATGTGGTGTTGTCATGATCTGTCTCTTCTCTGTGCATGCTTGGAACAGTTGTGATTTGCATTGTGCTTTGTTTGCAGGTAGCTGGCTCAGTGGTGGATATTTTGGTCAACGGCGCTGCAAGTGCTTCTTCATCGATACGATCAAGTTGTTGGCCTTCGCAGTTCCTCTCAATGGTCAGTGTACGAAGTAAAGTCAGATCATGGCGCCGTACAAGAGATTTTTCGTGAACAAGATCTCCGGCACCTTCTGGACTTTGTCATTGACAACAGTCACTTCGAGATCAACGGATACTTGTTCCGCCAAGAACGAGGAGTCGCTATGGGATCACCAGCCGCGCCACCGTTGTGCAATTTGGTTGCTACGGTTGAGGATTTCTTCTGGCACCAAACAATGAGTTCTCTGCGGTTTTGCATGCCCGACATTGGTGTGATCTGGCATGAGCGCTACGTCGAAAATCGTTTCATTCTCCTTCGAGATTCAGCCCCACACTCGCCCGTGCTCATGAATTTTCTTTCCCTGGAATTTTATCGCCCACCAGTGATGCTCGAGGTTCAACATGATGACAAAGTGCTGGGTTATCGATGTGACTCTTCCTCCCGGACTATTACACCACAGCTACCTGATCATCCCTCCCAAATCAAAGGAATTCGGAGTGCCAATGATCAGATGTTTACTTATTCTTCTTGGTCTTCTCGCTCGTGGCTCATCATACGCGGTGCACAACCGGCGGTTCAGCAGCAGCATGGACTCGACGCTCTCAAACGCCTTTATGAGGCCAAAGGTTTTGAACCTCACCTTCTACGTGACGATCGGCGTCGACTCGGGACAAAATCTGCATGTGAGCTTGTCATGCTGTCTCTTCTTGTGCATGCTTGGGACAGTTGTTGATGCATTGTGCTTTGTTTGCATGTAGCTGGCTCAGTGGTGGATATTTTGGTCAACGGCGCTGCAAGTGCTTCTTCATCGATACGATCAAGTTGTTGGCCTTCGCAGTTCCTCTCAATGGTCAGTGTACGAAGTAAAGTCAGATCATCGACGCCGTATGTTCAAAGGAAAGTGGCGCCGTCAAACCAAGATTCCTAGAATTTTCGTGAACAAGATCTCCGGCACCTTCTGGACTTTGTCATTGACAACAGTCACTTCGAGATCAACGGATACTTGTTCCGCCAAGAACGAGGAGTCGCTATGGGATCACCAGCCGCCCCACCGTTGTGCAATTTGGTTGCTACGGTTGAGGATTTCTTCTGGCACCAAACAATGAGGTCTCTGCGGTTTTGCATGCCCGACATTGGTGTGATCTGGCATGAGCGCTACGTCGACAATCGTTTCATTCTCCTTCGAGATTCAGCCCCACACTCGCCCGTGCTCATGAATTTTCTTTCCCTGGAATTTTATCGCCCACCAGTGATGCTTGAGGTTCAACATGATGACAAAGTGCTGGGTTATCGATGTGACTCTTCCTCCAGGACTATTACACCACAGCTACCTGATCATCCCTCCCAAATCAAAGGAATTCGGAGTGCCAATGATCAGATGTTTACTTATTCTTCTTGGTCTTCTCGCTCGTGGCTCATCATACGCGGTGCACAACCGGCGGTTCAGCAGCAGCATGGACTCGACGCTCTCAAACGCCTTTATGAGGCCAAAGGTTTTGAACCTCACCTTCTACGTGACGTTCGGCGTCGACTCGGGCCAAAATCTGCATGTGAGCTTGTCATGCTGTCTCTTCTTGTGCATGCTTGGGACAGTTGTTGATGCATTGTGCTTTGTTTGCATGTAGCTGGCTCAGTGGTGGATATTTTGGTCAACGGCGCTGCAAGCGCTTCTTCATCGATACGATCAAGTTGTTGGCCTTCGCAGTTCCTCTCAATGGTCAGTGTACGAAGTAAAGTCAGATCATCGACGCCGTATGTTCAAAGGAAAGTGGCGCCGTCAAACCAAGATTCCTAGGATTTTTCGTGAACAAGATCTCCGGCACCTTCTGGACTTTGTCATTGACAACAGTCACTTCGAGATCAACGGATACTTGTTCCGCCAAGAACGAGGAGTCGCTATGGGATCACCAGCCGCCCCACCGTTGTGCAATTTGGTTGCTACGGTTGAGGATTTCTTCTGGCACCAAACAATGAGTTCTCTGCGGTTTTGCATGCCCGACATTGGAGTGATCTGGCATGAGCGCTACGTCGACAATCGTTTCATTCTCCTTCGAGATTCAGCCCCACACTCGCCCGTGCTCATGAATTTTCTTTCCCTGGAATTTTATCGCCCACCAGTGATGCTCGAGGTTCAACATGATGACAAAGTGCTGGGTGGTGTACCAGATCGATAGAGGAGTATCCATGGCTCGAATATTCGGTCTGGCATGATCAGGAGTGGGTGCGGATATACACTCCGGGACAACCTCAACGATGGCACCGTGGTGACGCCGTACCTGATCTACCTGAAAATTCTTTTCGTTCCCGTCTTCTGAGCGGTTTAGGGCAGTGTCTCGCTCCCCTCGCCGTGGTGGATATTTTGGTCAACGATAGTGATTTGAGTTTGAGCATGTGATCTTCCTGCAGGAGAAAAGAGAAACCTCGCCCCTCGTAGAGGGGCGTGTGTGTGCGGAGTGACAGAATGCCCTGTCACCACCCTTTCGGTTTCGCAGCAGGGGCGTGCAGCACCTTTGGCATACTGCACGCAATGAAGCTATTGCCAAAGGTGGGAAGGGTGTCCAGACGTGGACACCTGTACCTGCTTCAGTGATTCGGAAAGTCTATTTGGCCTCCTTGGTTGCGGCGCTGTTTGTGCTTCTTGTTCTTTCGGGTAACGTTTTCGCTGCTAGACGGAAGCCAAGTGACCGTGAGCCGAAACTCATCATACTCGAGACTTGTCGGTTGTACTCGAGACTCACCAGTTGTACTCGAAAGATTAGCACTCTCCATCTGGAGTTCAAGTGTGTGTGTGTGTGTGTGTGTGTGTGTGTGTGTGTGTTTTTGTTTTTGTTTTTGTTTTTGTTTTTGTTTTTGTTTGTTTTTTTTTTTTTGTGTGTGTGTGTCTATGCCTGTGTGTTCGTTTGTGTCTGTGTCTGTTTTTGTGTATGCTTGGTGCAGGGAGGCTGGCAACGTTGTACTGAATACATACCATATTGGGCACACAGGCAGGCACTCACAGACTATACTGGGGTATACGGGCATGCAGGCATAAAGCGTGATATACATATGTAGTATATTAAATTCCGATAGTGTGCCTGCGTGGGCGCGTGCGGGCCGGCGGGTGTTTTGTGGGTGGGTGGGGGACCCATGAATCAATGCCATGCCAGGATCACCGCGGAGCAAGCCCTCAATGATGAGTGGGCCTCCGCCTCGTTCATCCTCCTTCGGGCTTTCGGAGGGGGGGGATGGGGGGAGGGCCTTTCTTCTATTTGGAGACCCCACAAAAAAGTCATAGCCCTTCCTTTCGTGGCATCCACCAGAAAATCGCCGAGCTAGGTCTCTTCCACCAAGTCACAAGGTCAAGGGCTCCAAAATACCCCATTATCCTGGATCCCATTGGCATCCCCAGTTTCATGGGCGAAGAGAACACCACATGCCCTTCCCCAGCACTCTGCTGACGTATCGCCATGTGGACAGCACCTAGCCTTCAGCCTTGAAGGCCTGATTCAGGTTGATGAACCCTAGCCCCTGCCAAGCGCTAGCTTCCTCGCTGAAGCTTGCAGAAAAAACCCGCCAAAGTGCCCCGGAATTCCATGGTCCTTAGAGATGAGCTGGATCCTTATGACATAAGGTGTCCTCTTTAGGGTGTGTTTCAAAGCACAACCAAAAGGATGCCATCCATTTTAGGCGTTGTTTTCTCCGAGCCAACAGGAAACATCTCATTTTGGACGTGGTACCACGATTATTTTAGGGACGACCAGTAAAATCTCAAGCAACAAGTTCGGGCTATTAGCCAGTTCCCTCAGTGGGTGAAATTCAGGGCAATCGCATTTGTCTCATTTGACGCATGGCTCACACTTTGCCCCAATGATTTCCCTTGCCTTGCAAATGATACTTACCTTACCGACCGACCTGTTTGCAGAGAACTCAGCCATCGGGAAGGTTGTTGAAACGGCTTCGCGCCTAGCCCCTTTCGCAGGAATTCCTTGTTTTCGGTCGGTGAACTATGACTCGCGCCGGCACATGCCTTTTACATTGATTCAAGATATTCACCCATGAGTATACATCCAACTATTTTTATTATATATTGTTTCAAAAAGATCGCCTATGCAAGTATTATATATATATATACATATATATATATATATATATGTACGTACATACAAAGGACTTATGGGTATATCACCAGACACATGGCCTTGATCAAGTTTCATCCTCAGACTTACCTCACCTTTCTGCCGCTTTGTTTTGCCCCCTTTCTTTCCGGTTCGCAACTAAAAACCGAATGCAAGTTGAGCTCGCTTTCTTTTTGCGGTGCAACAGGGACCTCGATTTCCGTGACCCAAACGTCCGGCGGGTTGATTCCCCATTCTTTCCAGCCATCCTTCTTTTCGAAAACCAAGTCCGTTTCCCTGGGTTTCCGGAGGTTTTCTAGACTTCCATTTGGCTAAGACTATTTTGATTTTCAAAACCTGTTGTTAATGGGAATCTATCACTACCGGACATATTTTCTATTTTTTTTCCACCGAAAACTTCAGCAAAATGGAGGTATGATTCGGCTCGGACAGAATACGGAACTGGATCCGGCCGCTCTCGGCACCTCGGCACTCGAGGTGCGGGAGCACGCGCCGCGGGCCACCAACGTGTCCATCGGCACTGGGCTCGTGGACAACCTCCGGGGCTTCCGGTCGCAGCCTCCCCGGCGCCTTTTCGCTTTTGGATCGGGGCCATTTTGACGGCCAGCCCGGTTCAACTTGGCTTAGGTGCTTTAAGTTGGTTGAGTGGTAGTTTCCGAAGTTCGCCCACTTGTTTGTGATTCATTTTTAGCCCAGGTTTGGCGAAGCGATTGGATCGGGTGGTCCAAAAGGACTTGGGTCAGGTTCCGCAGTTCGTTTCAACCTCTAGATGGGGACAAAGATGACATTGGTCCAAATAGCTCTCCAGGGGTCAGCAAAGTTTTGACGAGCGTATGGCCGTAGCTGCTTTCAGCTCAAGGCAGCGCCGAATCCCAAAGGGATGGCTGAGGCAGACCTTTGTTCGGAGGGGAGCGGCTTTGCCGATACTTCAGCGGCATTGGCCATCATCAGGACCAAGCAATTGGCCAACTTCATGTCGAAGATGGCGATTGTGCGGGCGGACGTTCTGAGGGCGATCCCTGCCTACAAGGCCTTAGCGGCATGTGGGGCAGTGTTTAGACCTCGACAGAAAGCCAGTTGCGACAAGAGCCAAATGGTAGAGCGAATCCAAGAGTTTTGGAGCCATTCTTGGCACGGAAAGGGGGGGGGCTGGAAGAAATATTTGACTCTCTTGGTGCTGAAAAACGGAATGCCGGCCGTGCTTTTGGGCAGTCTGTTTGCTTTAATGGGCCTGGGCCTGTTTCTGCTGGGCGTCCTGCCTGGAAAGCCTGGAAGTCTTTCGTCGGTGTGGTCGCTGGTCTTTGGCGTCCTCAGCAGCTGCGGAGTCTTTGCCCTCTGGCGGCACAGCAAGCTGGTGTTCCTGGACCACATCTGCATCAACCAGGCGGATGATGAAATGAAGGCAGGGGCCATTTGCAGTCTTGCTGGGCTTCTCAACAAGTCTGACTCCATGCTGGTGCTTTGGGATGAAAGCTATACCGAAAGGCTTTGGTGTCTTGGTGGTGTGTAGCCATACCCTAGTCTTTCAGACTTAGACTTTGAGAATGAAGAGGGTTTCATGTCATGTTCCCGCTGAACATTTAACTTTTCGCAGGGGATTTGCGAATCACTGAGGTGTGTCTTCGAGCTCGCCGCATTCCTGAAAAGCACCAAAGGTCTGGGACGACCTTTAGTGATTTGCCCAACTTTGGCGGGACCGTGTTCGGTTCTGGGCTTCTTGATTGTGTCCGGGGTGTTTCTTCCCATTGCCATCTCCCCACTGCGCCACGCGGATCTACTGTGGCGGCCGGCCGTGATGGTGGCCGCCGTGTCTATCGCTAGCAGTGTGGCCGCCCAGGTGTTCCGAGGTCTTTGTCGTTCCGTGGAGGTCATGCAGAAGCAGTTGCTGTCGCTAAAGGTGGCAAATACCAAATGCACATGCTGCATCGTGGGCCACGTTATGGACGGTGAGCGCCTGCTTTGTGACAGGCAGGCGATTTGCGAGTGCATGGCCAGCTGGTTCGGCAGCGTTGAGGAGTTCGAGCACTGCATACGCAGTGAGGTGGTCGAGGTAGTCTCCAGAGAGCTCGATCGAGCGGCTTTCGGCCACGCCTTTTACCTGGGAATGGCTGCGCCAGCGTTTTGGGCAATCCTGGATATCCTGCCCACACCCGTGGTGTCCGGGCAGCCACTGGAACTCGTGTTTTGGCTGACCGCGGCCTCCATCATGCTAGGCCTCGTGTTTCCCATGTATCTTGCATGTGCCAGATTCCTCGCCTTCCATTTTCGCTACAAATCTAGGAATGTCTTCGGCGAGATCCTAAAAGACCTGATGGTAGTCTTGTTCGCCTCACCCGTGCTGGCATACGCCTTGGGTGTGTTTTTGTTTTGCAGCGAGTTCTGTGCGCATTTGTTTGCGCCAATACAGGCTGCAGTTTTTTGCTGCATGATCTTGCCCATGTGGTTCTCCATGTGGCTCTTCCGAAGGTGTCACGGTGACAACTGTTTCAGCCGGAGCCTGTCGCAGTACAGGCTGGCAGTGCAAAGCTGTTAGGAAGTCTTGAAGATAGTTTTGCTGACAGCTGCGCGACGCTTCTTCCAAATGGGGGGGGCAGAACCAGAACGGTGTGCGCAACTTGCGAGGAAATCAACTTGCTGCCAACTCGTAGGATGAGGGACCCAGGCTATCGGGCTATGAGGCTCGACTTCGGCAACATGGTCTGTACATTCCTTTTAGCTGAACTGAAACGAGACTCTGTCAGCTCAAAATCACTGAGGACTACGTGGATGCAACGGGACCAAATGCCATGTCTCTTTGTGGGATCATTGAGCCGTGAAGGGCAACATCCACAAGAGCACATTTTGCTGAGGCTGAGTATCTCTGCACAAGTCATCACGAGCTCACCCATGCCGAAGGTCCTTTTCGCGGGGGGGGGGGGGAGCTGATTTCCACTTTGGTGATTATAGAAACTTGACCAGATAAGTTTTGCTTAGGGTGATACCCTGGAAAACCTGAAATACTTTTTTACACCAGAACCAACTGAAGCAACCCAACTGGCCGGAGACGGCGCCAGGAACAAGCTCAAGAAGGCTGCCCTGCACGTCATCGCCAGCCAGATGAGTGACGCGCAGATCAAGGAGAATCCTGTCAAAGCTTAAGCACAGAAAGCCAGGTACGCCCCTTGGGTTGTAGGAAACATGGGTTTTTGGGTGGGCAGAAAGGTTTGCATAGACCTTCAATCAGAACTTCTGTGAAGAGGATTTCAATGATTGGGAAGATGCTTTCAATTCACCATATTAGTTTGGGGTTCTCTTCGGCGCTTGCGATTGGGATGTATTGGGATAACATCACAACTGGTCCATCGAATCTGCTGAATCCGTGTTTTGTTCCCGGTTGCTTTTAGAGAGAGCTTGTCATGACAGGCAAATCCGTTGCTTTTCAGTAGCACCTGGAGTGTGTGGGTTGATTGGCGGAGGCACCTGCGGTGCTTTGTACCGAAGCACACTTGAGTCGCGGGTGTCCGTTTCATCGGTCACGCCGGAGAGCAAGATGAGAGGTTGGTTCCCATTTGGGTGTGGCTCAAAATTAAACAGGAGGGGTTACGCAGGTTTTGGTCCATGTTTCCACTTACCAGGGTTCCATTTTGGTACCGGTTTTTTGAGCCACTGCCATTTTTGAGATACCAGGCAACCTTCCCGTATTAGTCATTGGCAAGGCCTTGAAGTGAAATCACGGAACGTGCTACCGGCAATTCCTACAGACGCGACTGTGCGAACTTGATCTTGGGGAGTATGAAGCACGGCCTCAATATTGCCGTAGGGTCTGATGTTGCGGAACAGGAGGGGGGCCTGCATCCTGTGAATTGGAGGGCTTCCTTGGAGGTTGCACAGGTTATGTAGATTGTACTCTTGGGGTTGCAGCGGAACTTGTAGGGGTATCGCTCTTGCCATGACAAATTAACTATAAGAGGGACATAGCTTAGAATGAAAGGGGGTAGACCCATTAACACGGGTATGAAGATCGTATGGTTGTGGAAAGCTGCCCTCTTGGGGCCATGTTCTGAGATTTCAAGGGAATCTCCCTTACACAGTGGCCAAGTAGTGCGGATGGCCCACAGTGGCACAGGAAAACATGCTTCACCACGGCCCCGGAATTCTTCCCTTCACCGCGCGATCGGATGGTGCGATCGGACAGGATCTCCGCGAGACATTCATCGCGATGGACGTGAATGGCAAGCTCCCCAGTGCGCCAAACTCCGGTTCTGGGGCGTGAACCAGGGGTTGGGTCAAAACCAATGGGATCCCATTTTGGGGTAGGTGAATTCACCACCCATTTTAGAACCTGTTTGGTGGGGATTGGGATGTTCACTTGGGGTACGGGATTTTGACCCATGGCTAGCAAAACGGAAGGAGCTTGACAGACCATACCCTTCCACGCACAAAGGTTGAACCCCAAACACCATACTGCTTGAGTCTCCTTTTGGAGGACCCTGTGGAGAACCAGGCCAATTTGAAGGGGAGTATGGTTGCCCAAACAGCGGTTGTTCCCCCTCCGCACAAATGTTTATTGGTCTGGCCTGCTGCACCTGCGGTGCATTTCCTACCCTGCCCCTCGTATTTGGTTACAGCTCAAGGAAAGTACTCTTCATACTAGTGTGACTCAAATGTTACCCATGCTTAGCTGCCGGTCGGGCTAGACTTATGGGAACGTTCTAAGCCGCTGCTTGCCCCGCAGGACCCCTGTGATGTTGTTTCGTGCATCGATTTGACATGTCCTAACATCGAGCGACCGTTCCTTGATCAGAAGCGAGGAACTGCGGAAGGGGACGAGAAATGGAAGCTTTTGCGGGGGAATCCGAAGAACTCGCTGGGCACCCGGCAGCCCATGCCCGTGAAAAAACATTTGGTGTCTGATATCTTTGCCCTATGCTCCCACTTTTTAGAGCCAAGGCGCAAGGGTAGAAACTTATAGTCCTGGTGTTTCCTTCAGGGAAGCTCTGAAGGTGTAGGGTAGAGCGTGTCGGTTATGGGGAGGACAACCCTACCAACTAACATGTAAGTCCAAAAAGGCCCTTTCCAGGAGGAGAGTAGTCTTTCTACAGGGGTCTGTGCACAAACCCATGTTGGTGGGAGGGTAGTCCTCCCGGAACCTAGGCCTTCAGAGCTTGCTCCCCCGTCCCCTGAAACCCTTCCGGCTGAGGCGACGGTCTCCTTACGGTGAAGGACCGGGATCCAACAGATTTTTGCGTCATCTTTGGGGACTCTTTCGTCTTCTTTTGGTTTCAGCCGGCCTGGCAGCACAAGGCTCGGTGGTCGAACTGAACTCCGTGAGGATCTTCACATGACTCCAAGCAATGAGAAGTCGCATCTGGGAAGCCACGCCTTCTGTCACTCTTGGCAACGGCGAAGGGTGCCTGGTGTCCGAAAACCAAACTATCCGCAGCCAATTCACCCTTTTTCCTTGATCTCAGTCACCCTACACCCAGATGTGTTTGTTTTGCAGCGCTAGAAGTGTTGACTTGTCTTCCAATGCGCGAGTTTGCTCGGTACCATATTGAGAGAGGAGTGAACTGTTTCCTCATGCACTAATCGATAGGGTAGTAAAGTTCTGAAAGTAACTTCCCCATTCTTAACCCAGGGATCGGGTCCGCTTACCCGGATCCGAGGATCCGG